AAACTCGTACATTTACACAGTCGTCAAATGAGCCTGAAGTGTTGAAATGAAATCTGCTGTGGTCATGCGTTCCACGACATCGGCTGGGAGCTCGTTCCATTCCCTTACTGTTCGTGGGAAAAATGTGTTGTGAAATACATCTGTTCGGCAGTTATAGTCTCGTAGTTTTTTTGAGTGATGAGAACGTGTGATTCGCTTACTTACAGGTTGAATGAAATGATCCCTTTCTATTCCTATTTTATTATGATAAATTTTGTATAGGTACCCTAGTCTTTCCGTGTGGCGTCGTAATTCCAGGGGTTCCAATTCAGCCCTTTCCACTAACGTACTTGCCGATGTCCGCCAGCTGTACATATTAAAATAAAGCGTACCGATTTTCTTTGAACACTTTCCAAGTGGACAATGTTCCTTTTCGTGTGAGGGTCCCATACTATCGATGCGTATTCGATTATTGGTCGGATAAACGTTTTATAGGCTAATAGCTTCATATCTTGAGGAGCTTGGCGCAAAGTTCGTCTTAAGTATCCTAGTTTAGTTACTGCTTTTTCTTTATGTAAGAAATGTGCTCATTCCACCGAAGATCCGATGTGAGTATGACACCTAGGTATTTAAAAGATTTTACTTTGGATAATACGCTTCCATTTAAGCTGTAGCTAAGCTGTAGCGGTGAATTCTTTCTAGTTATCCTCATGAGAACGGTCTTTTGGGGGTTAATTTTCATTTGCCAGGTTTCACACCATTTCTCAACGTGCTGAAGAGCTTCTTTTAGTTGGACGTGGTCATGAAGGTTGTCAATTCTGTGATAAATTACGCAGTCATCTGCGAATAGTTTAATTTTGACCGGTACCTGGTCAACTATGTCATTTATAAATATTAGGAAGAATAACGGCCCCAACACCGACCCTTGTGGAACGCCCGACCCGACAGCTGCAGGAGTTGAGCAAACATTATCAATTGAAACACATTGCTGTCTGTGGCGCAAGTAGGCCTCTATCCACGATACTAATGCAGTATTCTTTAGAATTGCCCTAACCTTTATTATTAGTTTTGAATGCGAAACACAATCAAAAGCTTTTTGGAAATCCAAAAAAATCACGTCTATTTGAGATTGAGCATCAATAGCAGCAGCAAAATCATGCACGGTTTCAAGGAGTGCCGTCACTGTAGATTTACCTTTGCGAAAACCATGTTGCCTATTATCAATAAGGTTGTTCTTTTCCAGAAACGACGATATGTGCGCGAAAATTATGTGCTCTAGCGTCTTTGAGCAGGAGCACAGTAGGGAGATTGGCCTGTAACAAGTTACTTGGCGCGAGTCCCCACCTTTCGGTATCGGAATAATTTTACTGTACTTCCATTCTGTTGGTAGTTGAGCTTCTGAGAGCGATTTTTTAAATATTAAACATAAGTACTTGGAGCACCATTCAGCGTACCTGACTAAAAAGGTGTTGGGTATGCCGTCAATTCCAGGAGTTTTCTTTGTGTCCAATTTTAACAACAGTGACAGCACACCTTCTTCGGACACAAAAATATCACTTATAGACGGAGCATCTTTTGCAGGAATGAAAGATGGGTCACTAGCATCATCCTGTACAAATACGGAGCAGAAAAAGCGGTTAAAAGTCGATGCTAATTGTAGTTTATCCGACACGTTGCCACCGTTCACAGTAAGGTTTAACTGCGATTTTTGCTTTGAGGAAAAATGTCTCCAGAATTTAGCCGGAGCCGTGTAGAGAAAGTTTTTTAATGTCACGTTGAAGTAGTAATTTTTAGCTTCAGCGATACTGTCCCTAAGAGCCAAGCGTATGGCACACAGTTTCGATACATTCGCAGGAGAGGGGCGTTGCCGGCACGTTTTTCTTATCCTTTTCGCTTTGCGCTCAAGGCGAACAACTTCCTTAGTAAGCCATGGTTTTGAAAATTTTTTTATGCTTTTACTTTTCATAGGGACAAAATCTTTGATACACTTAAGAACGAGATTTTTGAAAAATAGCCATAACTCATCGATACTGCAATCACTTGATTGATAGAAAGAAAGAAAATTTGAGAACGATTCATCCATTGCATCCAAAATGCCCACGTCATTTGCACGTGCGAAAACCGGGACAACACGCACTTCGTTTTTCTTTTTAGGCACATGGCCAAGATTCAGTGTCAATGTAATCAACTTATGATCCGATATTTCATCGAGAACGGCAACTACGGGTTCTTTACTAAGCAGGTTTCTGCTAACGAGAAAAAGGTCTAGGATAGAATTCGCTGAGTTGCTGATGCGAGTTGGCTCTTTGACTAACTGAGAAAGGTTATGAAAGAAAACTAGATCAGTTAACTGTTCTGCAACAGTGCTAAGAGGCTCCGGAATTTCGTTACTCCAATCAATGGATGGCAGATTGAAGTCACCAGCTATCAAAAAATTATTGATGTGGACGACGTTGTCACATAAGAATTGGTTTAGTTTCTCGAAGAATGTACTGTTGTCATTTGGGGGGCGGTAAAATCCACCTACTACTAAGCTGCATTCATTCAGGCATATTTTAGCGATGACACATTCAACACCAGCTATAGGGGAAAGTCTGTTTATATGTAACGTATCTTGGTAAAGAATGGCAACTCCTCCCCCTCGGGAGCTTCTATCATTACGAAGGATAGCGTAGCCTGGCGGGACGATTTCAGAATCGGATATGTCATTGTGCAACCAAGTTTCCGTAATTACGACTACCTGAGGTTTATACGAGAGAATAACACTTTCCAGCACGTCAACTTTATTCACAATACTGCGAGCATTAAACTGGAGGCAAAGGAATGGTTTATTAACGACCGCTGGTCACTGTTCGTTTCTAGTATTCTTGCGCTGAACAAGAACTCTCATTTTTTGGCTGTCATCCCATTCAAAAAGATTGTTTTCAATTTTAATTTTATCGTGAATCAGCTTAACTTTTTTACCAGACTTTCTGATGTCAGTTGTGCTCTCCCACAGGTTTCTTCTTTTCTGTCTAGTGCACGCGGAAAAATCCTCTGCTATAGAAGTTCGCTGTCCTTTTAACTTATAGCCGTTTTTCAAAACATTAATCTTTTCGCGGTAGTCAAATAACTTTAGGATTACAGGCCGAGGTTTGCGACTATGACTACGGCCTATCCTATGAATCCTTTCGATAGACGTTATTTTTGTGCCTAGTACCTCTTCGAAAATACCTTTCACAACACTTTGCTCAAGGTCTGCTTGTGTTTCATTCTGTTTTTCTGGAACGCCGAACACCAAAAGGTTGTTTCTTCTCCCGCGGTCCTCAAGGTCGACTAACTTTTTTTCCATGTCCTTCACTTCTTGTCCAGAAGGTGGGTGACTGAGGAGACCTCTTTAATAAGAGAGGCTGTCGAGTCGACAACCTTAAATTTCTGTTCAATTTCATCGAGCCTTTTCTGTATCACCTTTTGCCCCGCTAGAATCTCAGTGAGCAATTCTTCGGTGGTAGGACCTGGGTTTGATTCTATATCACCGCAAAGAATCAACAAAGCACATGCGAAATCCTGCACAAACATAGCTATAGCACTGAAACACTCTGGGCATGTCAGCTGGATAAAACAGCGGTTACTGGATTTACAGGAAGACGCAGTGTTACAGACCTGCATGTAGAACAGGAACGGATTAGTTGCCATGTTGACCGTTGGCCAGCTGACACACCCACTGAAGGAAGCCGTGCGACGAGGTACATTTAAAGCCGGGTCCGGTGACGTAGACCGCGCTGCACGTGACTTGATCCCATCTTCAGTGTAGTTTAGCGAAAACCATACGCTGTCGCAGCATGCCGCCGTGGTTTCATCGGTAATGTTCGTTGTTGCTTGAGATGCGCTGGCTTTGGTCACTCCAGCAAAAAGTAGAATCTGCATGTAGAACAGGAACGGATTAGTTGCCATGTTGACCGTTGGCCAGCTGACACACCCACTGAAGGAAGCCGTGCGACGAGGTACATTTAAAGCCGGGTCCGGTGACGTAGACCGCGCTGCACGTGACTTGATCCCATCTTCAGTGTAGTTTAGCGAAAACCATACGCTGTCGCAGCATGCCGCCGTGGTTTCATCGGTAATGTTCGTTGTTGCTTGAGATGCGCTGGCTTTGGTCACTCCAGCAAAAAGTAGAATCTGCATGTAGAACAGGAACGGATTAGTTGCCATGTTGACCGTTGGCCAGCTGACACACCCACACACCCACTTCCGCGAGAAAAAAAATGGAGGGTGTATATTCCGGTAACGAAGTCTCAACCAACAGGTTTTTCTGTACGCAGAGAGTAGGAAATCCATTTTACCGAATACCATTGAAAGTGTCGTTTTTGCGGCACGTCACAGTTCAAACACTACCGCCATCACTCTTGCTTGTTGAAGTTATCGTCTCAAGAACAATTGCATACATAGATAACTACCTTTACCAACGCGCCAAAAGTTGTTGTCCTTTGGTAATCACCTGGCTTGCTCCTGCAGGTTACAGATGATGATTGCCATGCATGCAGTGATCAAAAACACACAAAAAACACACGTCCACACATACACACACGTAAACACATGAGGGGGAGTTTGCTCACAATGCTTTCGTTTGGACTCTGCACATCGGGCCAGTGTGTCTTGGAATATACGAAGCAATATCGTATTGCTGACACATAGCGCTAGGAAGTACACGAAATTTTAGGCCACTGAAGGATCATTGTCTCTCTGAATTGTTAGGTCACAATTAATTTTGTGAAGGTGCACTTGTATTTTTTTTTAAATCTCACTTATAAAGACAACACTTACAAGATTTTTCTGTCGTAGATGGTGGACACGGGCAGTATCTTTGAATATGTAACCTTTATCGACACGTGATTCGTGTGGCGACCATTTACTAACCTGGTCATTTTGAGCGTGAATTTCTGTTTTCAACTAGGTACATCTTGCCGACACTCTGCAACATCGTCTCATTTGTGTCGTGAGTGGCTAAAGAAAGGTACGACACGAGTGCAGTGTTTGCACGCTTAATAGTCAAAGTTGTCATTGCTATTTGGGTTTTCGCCGGCATGGTCACGGCGCTCCCACCTCGCGCAGTGGCTGAGCACCTCCTTGATCCATTGGATGTAGGGACCCACGCGAGTTTGCACACTCGACTTGTAATCCTTCCTGCAGAAAGTGTACGAGGCAATTCCAACTTGCACTGCCCGTTTGCCACCTGACTGACGCGTGAGAGGACCTCCAGCCAAACCCTGCAAAAGAGAAAACAGAGATCACTCACAGAAGGTGTTAATCTATTTCAATCACCAACGGCTACAAATTTATGGAGCCGAAAGCTTGAAATCTCAAGTTCTGCGCCTCATTCGGCGAATAACGGCAGGTGAAAGAAGTGGTAATAGGGCCCTCGTGACCTACGCCTTTATAGGCGTCATGTTGGGAGGTCACATTGTGTTGTCGTAATGTTGTTACTGATGCATTAGTTTGTGGCCACATCATGACAATAATGTGTCATCAAGTGATGACATTGTCACAGGAAACCCTTGCTTGGTCGACGGTGGCTCAGTTCCAGGTGCACTGGTTCGGTGCTGAGTGGTCTCAACGCGTGATACCCTAGGTGTGTGAAATCATTTTAGGGGCAGACAGCCATTTTTCACGTTGAGAGACAAACACTATTGACTCAGATGAACAGGATGAAAGAAAATTAGGTTAACTTGGGTTTATTTTCGTGTCATTTTAGGCGAAGGCATAAGGGGCCGCCCGTCTTTCGTCTTGGCGCTGTACCGCCCTGAACGTTTACCACATCTTTGAAATATATTGTGACGATGGAACGCGTTTATTTACAATATGGGTAATGCTGTAGCTCAGCCAAGGATCCACAGCGTCGCTCGCGAGCCAGTCCAGTCTCTTCCTCCTCTTCGTCGATTCTTCGCTAGCGCGTTTCACTTCCCGGTTCGCAGACGATGCCCTCTGGGCGAGTCACTCAGATGGTTGATGGTGGCACGGTTTAAGGCGCGCAACGTGTGTCAGTTGTGTTTTGCTAGAGCGGCGACCATTGCTTGTGACGCTCGAGATTACGTACGTGACGTCGCTGAGGCGGTCAAGAATGACGAATGGACCGGAATAGTGAGCCAAGAACTTTTAGCACAAACCACGTTTGCGGACTGGTGTCCATAACCACACAAGATCGCCCTTACTATAAGATACGGAGCGATGGCAGGCGTCGTAACGTTTCTTAGAACGCTGCTGGGATGCCAAGGTTCGGAGGCGTGCGATGCGACGGGCTTCTTCTGCGCGGCAGAGCGTCTCGGCTGTCGAGGTTTCCACGTCTAGTGTAAAAGGTAGTATAGTGTCGAGACAAAATTGTGGGGAGTGAGCGTACAGTAGGTAAAATGGAGAGTAACCTGTAGTCTGATGGTTCGCGGTATTGTACGCGTACGTGATGTAAGGTAGCACTTCGTCCCAGTTTTTGTGCTTAGAATTGACATAAATAGACAGCATGTTCGTGAGAGTCCGGTTCGTGCGCTCTACGAGACCATTGGTCTGCGGGTGATATGGTGTGGCATGGCGGAAATTGCAGGCAGACAGACGCAGGATCTCTTCAACGACGTCGGCAACGAACTGACGTCCGTGGTCGCTAATGACAACGCGTGGAGGACCATGGCGGAGAATTATAGAGCGAAGCAAAAACTGCGACACGTGCATGGCCGTTGCAGCAGGTATTGCAGCAGTTTCTGCGTAGCGCGTTAGGTGGTCAACACAGACGACGACCCATCGATTGTTACTGCTCGATCGTGGAAATGGACCGAGCAGATCGACACCAACAGTCTCGAAGGGAGAGTTAGGAGGTGGAACAGGATGGAGAAGTCCAGGCGGCGTAGCCGTGGGACGTTTGTGTCGTTGGCATTGTTCGCATCCAGCAACGTATTTTCCGTGTCGTGTCGCATCTTGGGCCAATAGAACCTTTGCTGGATTCGTTGAAGCGTTCTGGCGAAGCCCATGTGGCCGCAGGTTGCGTCGTCGTGTAAGGACCGAAAGACGTGAGCCCGTAAAGTGCGTGGAACAACTAGAAGCAGATGGGCGCCTTGTCCGGAATAATTCTTCTTGTAAAGGACGCCGTCATGAACCACAAAAGAGCTTGGGTTTGCGTGTTCATTTTCGGAGGCGAAGAGAGAATCTATGGAGCGGTCCTCTTGTTGGGCTGTCCGGAAAGTCGCGAGATCAGGGAACTCAGAGGCAATAGCGCCGATATACTGGTCGAAGTTGTCAGCGTCGCACTCCGTCGTCGGTAGAGGAAGGCGCGATAGGCAGTCGACGTCTGCGTGCCGGTTACCGCTCTTGTAGCGTACTGTGAAGTCGAACTCCTGTAAGCGCAAAGCCCATCGCGCCAGTCGTCCAGATGGGTCTCGGAGGCCTACCAACCAGCATAGAGAATGATGGTCGGTGATTACCGAGGAGCGACGGCCGTAGATGTATGGGCGAAACTTGTGCACGGCGAAAACAACTGCGAGGCACTCCTGTTCTGTGACTGTGTAATTTCGTTCTACCTTGCTCAACGAACGACTCGCGTAAGCGACCACGTGTTCAGCATTGTCATGGCGCTGAACGAGCACTGCACCAAGGCCGATTCCACTGGCATCTGTGTGAATTTCCGTTTCAGCAGAAGGATCGAAATGGCGTAGTACCGGTCCTGAAGTCAGTATGAACCGAAGCTGCTTAAAGGCTGCTTCGCAATCCGGTGTCCAGTGGAAAGGGACATCCTTTTGCAGCAAGTGAGTCAGTGGTTGTGCTTTATCAGCGAAATTCGGAACAAATCGACGAAAGTAAGAACACAGGCCCAGGAAGCTACGCAACTCCCTGGGGGACTGCGGCTGCTTGAAGTTGCTGACAGCGGCGACTTTCTGCGGGTCTGGTCTCACGCCATTTTTATCCACCAGGTGTCCCAGAACCAAGGTTTCACGTTCTCCAAAGCGACATCTTTTTGAGTTCAGTGTAAGCGCAGCTTCCTCGAGACAGGTTAGAACGAGGTCAAGGCGATGATTATGTTCTTCAAATGTTCGGCCAAAAATCACCACATCATCCAGGTAACGCAGGCAAATTTCCCATTTGAGGCCCCGTAAAACGGTGTCCATATATCTATCAAATGTGGCGGGGGCATTGCACAAGCCGAATGGCATAACATTAAACTCAAACAGATCGTCGGGTGTAACAAAGGCCGTCTTTTCTTTGTCAGCCGGATCCATGGGGATCTGCCAATACCCGGATCGCAAGTCCACCGATGAAAAATAGGACGCTGAATGCAGGCAGTCGATGACATCATCGATGCGAGGAAGTGGGTACACGTCCTTCTTAGTTATAGAGTTGAGACGTCGGTAGTCAACGCAGAACCTCCAGGACCCATTTTTTTTCTTGACCAAGATAACAGGCGCGGCCCAGGGACTTGACGATTCTTGAGTTACGCCAGAGGTTAGCATCTCGCTGACTTGCTCTGAAATTACCTTGCGCTCTGACGCGGAAACTCGATAAGGTTTCTGACTGAGGGGGTGCGCAGATCCGGTGTCGATCTTGTGACGAGTGCGTGTGCTGGCGTCTGAGGTCTATGCGACTTCCGTGCAAAATCAAATACTTTAGCGTGCCTGGCCAGCAGTGTAACCAACACTTTGCGCTTATGCGAGGGAATAGACTTGCTAACCATCTTATAAAATTCGTATTCCGTGCCGGATACATCAGCATAGTCCGAATTTGCCGCATTGCTGAGAGCTCCAATGCAGATACTGCACTGCCCCTCAAACATGGCAAGGCGCATTCCCTCTGGTAGTACAACAGACTGGGATGAGCAGTTAACTACCCATAATTTAGTTTTTCCCTCGGTGAGAGACACAACGAAGCGCGGCAGAAAGATGTCTTTCTTCATGCAAGGCAAAGGCAACGGCTCAATCACAATATCAGGAGAACTGAAACTCGAGTCGGCATTCGAAGCAGCAAAGGGCACGATGGCAGTGGACCATGCCGGTAGAATAGTGTCTTTAACTACAACGAGTTTGTCGTCTCCGCTACGCTGAGGCTGCTGGGCGAGGGCGGACAACAGAACCTCGTCTGCCCCGCAGTCGACAGTCGCACGGCACTCTTGCAAGAAGTCAATTCCAAGGATAACATCATGCGTGGAATGAGCGAGCACTGCGAATTCTGCCTTGAACGCTTTACCAGCAACACGAACAGACACAGTGCACACACCTACTGGACACAAAGCCGTGCCGCTGACTGCTCGAAAAGTAGAAGATTTATCCCAATAAAACATAACCTTGTGGCCAAGTCTCTCCTTGAAAACTAAACTCATTACAGAAGCTGTTGCACCAGTGTCTACCAGAGCCATCGTGGGAACATTGTCAATGAATACATGAACCTTGTTGTGAAGCATGTGAACTAATGGAGGCATACTTGTGTGCAAAGCGGTACGTCCAGCGACCTCGCCTCCATAGGCCGCGCCGCCTAGTTTCCTGGTGGCGGAGAGGAAAGCCGCGGCCGGGGACGGGGAGGTGGGGGACCGTCGCTGGCGCGTGGTAGGTGGCGTTAAGCTCCTCACAGAGGCAGGCGAGTCATTGCGGATGTTCGGCTGGTGCCCGTGCTTCTGGGCAGTTGAATCCGAAGGCCAGTAGGCGTAATCGGGCTGTTGACTTCGCCATGCAAGCATCGCTGGTCGGTCAAAAAACGTCGTGCGTGGGCGACGTCGCGATGGGCAAAACCGGGCGATATGTCCGCGAACACCGCACTGGTAGCACACGGGGCGTTCCCGAGGCACATTGAATGCTGCGGTGTGGAGAGGATGCTCAGGGAACTGTTGCCACTCGGACACAAACGGAGGCGGTTGGCTGTCATAGCTATAACTGCTGCGGGGCGCATAAGACGACTCGACGTAAGTAGCCTGTAGTGGCGGAGCCCTCAGCCGTAGACTGCGGGTGGAGTAACTGCGCTCGTCGAAACTCGCAGCATTGATGCTTGGGGATAGTGTATCACACTGCGGGTCTCCAGCTTGCATGGGAACAGAGACATGGCGACGCAGCTCCTCCCGTACAATCTGACGAATGATGGAGGAAAGGTCGGCAGGTAGAGAATTCTGGCAGACATCGACCGTGGCAACAGTCGTGACGTTGGCCAGACGTCCGAACTTCGATGTGATGCGACGAGTTTTAAGAGCCTCGAAGGTTCGGCAGTGGTTAATCACGTCGGCCACGCATTCCAGGCTCTCCTTGCCAATGAGGAAGTGTTAGACGTCATCGGCGATGCCCTTGAGTATATGGCCCACTTTGTCTTCTTTCGTCATGTGGGCATCCACCGACTTGCACAACTTCAAAATCTCTTCAATGTAGGTTCTGCATGTCTCACCGGTGACTTGAGCCCTCTGCGGCAACGTCTGCTCGGCACGTTTCTTCTTCGTTGCTGGGTCTCCAAAGCATTTCTTAATTTCCTCCACAAACTGGTTCCAGGTTGTCAATGTGTCTTCATGGTTCTCAAACCATACCAGCGCCGTGAAATCGAGGAAGAGCCCCACGTGAGACAGCTGGCTAGCCGCATTCCAACCGTTCGAACGGCTCACCCGCTGATAGTGGCTTGGCCATTCGTTTACGTCATCGCCGGGTTTCCCTGTGAAGGTTCGCGGCTCCCTGTAGTGGTAGGGCGACGTCCTTGCGACTGGTTGCTGGTTATCTCCGTCCGAGCGCATTTCTTGAGGTAATGGTGCCAAGCCCGCTAGTCGACGGCTGCGGCGAAGCTCGTGTAGCGGTTCCGTCGTTAGGGGACGGTGCCTCTCCGGTATCACTTGGTAGTAGCTAGCTTACCCAGCACCTTCCACCACAATTGTGACGATGGAACGCGTTTATTTACAGTATGGGTAATGCAGAGGTGTAGCTCAGCCAAGGATCCACAGCGTCACTCGCGAGCCAGTCGAGTCTCTTCCTCCTCTTCGTCGAATCTTCGCTAGCGCTTTCAATATGCTTTATTATTTGATCATGAAGTGATTTCACGTGCACGTGAACACACGTGGCATATAAATATTACGCGCTGTGAAAACTGACAATGACATGATTAACTAGAAGGGTCTGAGCAGGAGGGTGTTCACCAAACGCCTGGGTCATCGAATATTCTCAGTAGCCGCAATGTTGTTAAACAAAGAACTTGCTAGGAAGAAACAGTGAACATTTTTAGCTTGGTTAACGGACGATGCTACTAGGCTGGATTAACCCTTGTTGCCTTTACTCGTCATCGTCGCCTGTTTTTTTCCCGCTATACTCACGAAGCAAGCTGGCCGGCTCTGCGAAAATTCCTATAGATTCCTTATTTGCCAAAGTACCGAAAACTGCCTCTTTTCCCGGTTGTTTCTCACACGAAGCTGGTGACTTCCGTCAGTTTCTTCCTTACTTGGAACATTTACAAAAGCAAAGTATGCCTAGGTAAGTACATTAGTCAAGCATCCTTCAGCGTACGCGACGCGCTTTCTCCTCTGGCTAGGATGCCAGCCGTTTGTGAGCGGGGGACTCGTTTGACCATGTGCTGGCAAAGCATTAGGAAGAACATGGCCGCTGAAAACGAGCATTAGCCAATGAGGTTTCTCGATGGTGCTTCAATGATTATCTGTACTTGAGAAAAAAAACAGGAAAATTACTACGGGATTCAGGCCCCACCATTTTGTCCCATAGCGACAGGCGTTCCACGTTGTGCGGGCATCGAGGAGAGCTAAAAAGAAAGAGCTTGCTTACCTCCATGGGGTTCTTCCCATTCGACTGCGTGCAGAAAAGGAAACGGTCCCACTTCATATCGCGGACTTTTGGCAGTTCGATACTTTCGCTGCACTGCTCGAATGAAACAACATTCGCCGTCGAATGGTAGAGGAATTTGTAAACTTGCTCATCTGAAAGAAAGGAGCAGACGTTATCGTGTTACTCTCAATTTTCAGTTTCCATGGTTACGCCCAGATGCTCTTGAGTTCGAAGTTACACACACAAATATAAACACGGGTCGTTAAACGCTACCAGCCTACTATCACGTGTAATCCTAAAGTAGCGTAGCCCTGAAAACTTTTGGCCATTCCAGTAAGTATGCTTGGCACCCCGCCCTCACCTCCCCAGCCGTTTACACGCAGCTATATTCTAACATTTGAAAAATTGTAGACGATGTGGTCAGCAAACAAAAGCCACGAAAATGGCCTTGAATGCCTTAGTTTAACGTCACCTTAGATTGGGAACAATAAAGCAAATACACAACACACAACCTAAGTTCTAGTTGTAAATAGAAAAAAAATGGCGGAAGGACAAATAAGTTTCCATGTTGTCTACGCACTTCGAACCGGAGAGTGAATAAAAATAAAGTGAGTAATAGCTGCGAAAATTTACTTATTGTATGAAACCATTTACCGGTATGAACTCAACGAAATGCCCATTATTGTCAAGACACACTACCGAAAGTTTATATTTGCGTGTATAAAGGCCCTTGCTGAGAAGGTTAACGAGCATGCTTTCAAATAACGCGTGAAATATTTGATTGATATGTGGGGTTTAACGTCCCGAAACCACCATACGATTATGTGAGACGCCGTAGTGTAAGGCTGTGGAAATTTCGACCACCGGGGGTTCTTTAATGAACACACAATCTGAGCACACGGGCCTGCAACGTTTCCGCCTCCATCGGCAATGCAGCCGCCACAGCCGAGATTCGAACCCGCGATCTGCGGGTCAACAGCCGAGTACCATAGCCACTAGACCACCGCAGCGGAGCTCGTGCGTGAAATATATATGCTATTTGTTCATTAAGTTTGATTACTTCATACGCTCGAAACGTGGCTACTGTTGTGGGCTTGGCAAAGCAAAACATTGTAAATTTTGTAAAAACCTGCTGCCCTATTACTTATGGGTTGAGTTACTAGTACATCACTAGTGCGAAATAAGTGTACACCCCAAAATGATTAGCAGTACAGAGATAGGCGTAGCCATATTTAAAATCAAAATAAAGAACTCCATTTCAATTTTTTCAACTACACAACAATGATCATGTGAAAATATAAGGATTCTTTCAATACATTTGAGTATAAAACATTCTGCCCTTTATATATCTGCTCAAACGTACAAAATTCCCGAGAAATCTAAATATTCAGGAATTATTTTCAGCTGGGAACCTAAACACTCATGCAGGAATCTATACTTCTCATGTATGTCCACTATTGCAGTGTTGTTCGATTTTGAATGCCTTCACTCTAACAAGTGGCAAACACCAATGAAAAACTGGTTACGTGTGATCTGTGACAAGTGATGTGAAATGAAAGTGTCTAAAAATATTCCCGGGCACCCAGGAAGCCTGCACTTTTTTTTCGGTAAAAAAGCTTTTATGTAAAAGAATTTGTGCGTTCAAGTCTGCGTTAGTTGATTTGAACAAGTCGCAAGGGAACTCTCTACAGGAACAAAAACCACTAGTCTGAGTTAGGTTTAAACGCGAAACAACCTTTTGCCCATATAGACATTGAATAGACCTAAGGCGTCGCGACAAAAGATTGCTTGAATAAATATTGCCTTCAACTTTACTCCACACATTCACCCGTCTATTGTCATGACCAAAAGGTAAACCGCTTACAGCAGTGGAATAACCTACTAACCTGCCCCGTCTTATCCTGTTCTTTCCACCTTTTACTGTCTGCTCTTGTCTCTCTTCCTTGTTCTCATTTGATGCAACACATAATGCGATATATTTTGAATCACTATGTCATCAACCGACCTACCACCACTAACACATGGACACGAATTCTTGAAAGTTACCCAGTGGTGGTAGTGACATTTCTAAACAAACTGACAAAACAAAAGAGATGTGTAGCTTGATATGTGAAAAGGTTCTTTAGCGGTATTATGCTTTCAGCAGAAGATTCTAGTGTATGCAGACATATTTCATAATATTACGAGATGCAACCAACCAACAAGTGACAGATTAAATCGATGGAGACCATTCTATTCACCTCTTTTTTTGTTGGTATTTAGCGACTTGTATTTTAATAAACTTTGCACCAATTACCCAATAACTTAAGCTGACTTGATATGACTTTCCTGTGAATTACCGAATATATGAACCGAAAAATACTGTCTCCCTGTGTTATTTGCGGGAAATAAATATTTTCTATCAGAATCTTAATCTAGGATGTGGCGAGTATATTGCTAATGGGCTAGGTCTTATCAGGCCGGCAATCAATAATATTGACAGAGTATAGCATACCGTTTCGATAGTCCTCCGGTCTTCCTCTTCCCTCGTAACTAAAGAACACGTCTGATCTCCCTCGCATAAATATCCACTGTTTCATCATTGTAATTAGCTATATCCTTGACATCACTAAATGATCAAAGTTTATTGACAAGACGCTTGATCTAACTGACGTAAATAAGTAAGTCGAGACCCTGCTGCAGGACATGCAGGCAGTATTTGGTACACTATCCAATGTCTGATCTCCTGTTGCCCTCCCGTATCAGTGGCGTAATACTTTCTTTAGCCTACAGCAGTTTCAAGAAGGGAATGAAGGCTTGGCACTGAAGGACAGCGTTGGGAATGATAATGTCATTATTGCGCGCACAGCGGACGGATGAACGGGTGGAAGTGGGAGACAAATGCAGCTCCAGCTGTGTAACTGAATTATAATTATTCTGGGTAAACGCACCTGGCAGTTTGCACGTGCTGCATCAAAACTGCCTTTACAATACACCCCACCGTGGTGGTTCAGCAATCATGGAGCTCGACTCGTGATCCGAAGGTCACAGGATCAAATCATGGCCACGGTGCATGGTCACATTACGGGAGGGGGAGGGGGGGCAAGTGCTGGAAGCCCGTGTAGTTACACATAGATGTGCGTTAATGAATCTCTGGTGGCCCCGATGTCTGCAGCCTTGCACTACGGCGTGTTCTCATAGTCAAATCTTGGTTTTGGCACGTAACTTCCGTACAGTCGTATTATTCATTTTGTTTGGTGCAAAAAAAGGCCGGATATTTACCACAAGGTTGCGGAAAGCATTGGGAAAGCTACATTTTTAATAATATGTGAAGTAAGGCTATCAACTCTCTCCTTTAACATAACACCTAGCTTTACTCAAAAAAAAAAAAGAAACGCTGGCAGTACAAACTACGGTCGCTCAGTGAGTGAAGCGCCCTTATTGCTTTTTGAGACTTCCACGTTAACACTGCGATGAGTGCACACAACACTGGCAGTAGGCGTCAGCATTACCACTATGACGGACGAAACTGAACTTCACAGCAATTAGTGACTCTATTCAGTATAACTGTGTAGTGCATGTTGTTAGCACGTTTTTGGAACTGGCGGAAAGTCTCAAGTCAAGGAACCCTGCCCACCCAACAAAATACTCGACATTTTCTTGTGTCCTGATGAATTTTAATGTGTGCCACTGACTCTACAATACTGTGAGTTTTCGGTTGATCACCTGCATTGAGCCTACCCAGTTGGTAGTTGGTCGAAGTACACATGCCCTGCATGAACCACCAAGCCTGTGTCACAGAACGAGCGCTAAAAATGAGCGCGCCGCCAAATTCTTGCGACAACGGGCGGGAGAAACGCCGCGAGGTCAAAAGAAAAAAAAAGGAAAACAAGCATCCAGGGCTCCCCGGGCGCGCGACGCCTCTCCTCTCGGAAGCGGCGAAGCGATGAACCTCCTCACCCCACAGCGGCGGCCGGGCAAGCGCTCGATTTTTCCAGAACGAAAGGGGCGTGGTCATACCGAGTTGAATCATCCTCCGGGGAGGGCATTCCAACCGTCTCACTCTCCCCTCAGCCTTCGCCGCGTATCGCGCCGACGAAATGACGAGAAATTTCTGGAAGGTGGCGCGGAAGGTATTTAATCGAGCGGCCGAGACGAGAAATCAGGAGGAGACGGAAGTGAGCGCCAGAGCGCGTAGGGATTCCGCCGTGTAGTCGGCGAAGTTTTGGTCCGAAGGGACGAGGCCGGAGGTGAAGAGGATTTCCACCTGAGGGGTGACGACTCGAGCTACCGGCAAGAGTGTGTGTTTACCGCTATCGAGCGGAGACGCGGGGCAACAGCTGCGTGTGTGAAGCCGACGTGTTCCGGCGAAGAAGTTGAAGTTGGAAGAGTGGCCAATTGAAGACGGGAGGTTTCCTGGAAGAGAAACTTCGAGGGCTGCGGAACGACAACAACGCTGAACTTTGAGTGAGTGATTCTCGGAAGAGTATCATCTAGACTTTGGTTCCAAGAACTTTGGACTGAATAGGTTTTCTATCGCTTTAGTCTTTAAGTGTCTTGGTTGTTCAATGCATGCGACTGCATTGTAGTGCGTATTGTTTTCCGTGTCCGTTGTTTCAAGTGTGGCTGATTGTATTGTGTAGTACGTTGATTGATTGGTTTGATTGGGGACATATTGTATGCAACTATTGTGGAGTGTGCATTCTTGCGTATTGTTTTCGATCTGCCATTTTTGAGAATACAGTATTTGTTTTGTTTATCAACTGTCGGCTCTGACTTGTTCTTTGGACCACAGCCGGCGTCCGCTGGCGCGCCAAAAAGGACCACTTCTAAATTGTCCACGCTTTCGTGGTGCGGTTCGGGGAGCCGATACTTCGACTCTTGGAATTAGCCCGGCGATCGCCTCCCTAATAAGCGGGTGTGAACATAAACCCTAAGCAGCCCCTTCACACACTTGCATGCACGTAGATGATACGAGGTTTGGACGGAAGGTATCGATTAGAACTTGATATGAAACATAATGGCGACGGCAAAAAAAATGCAACAGACGTGTTTACCTACATGTAATCGTCATAACAGAAAGATATGATAACAGCAACAAAAGTGAATAAAACTCGAACCTTACCTTCCATTATGCCCCATTCAGGTGACACCAGTAGGGCGCCTTCACGTATAACTTGTTTTTGTTGGTTTGGTAAACAGACTGGCCTCACATACTCGTCTAAGTGCAGCGGCTCTTCAAGCTTTGTGTACGAAAAAGTGATTTACACAATAAGAAAGCAGAATGCCAGAGAACAACACTGTAAACATGCTCCCTTTGTTTCATGCTTCATTGTTTTCTTTCTTTTAATATTTTTTATATTTAACCAACACAGTTTGAACCTGTGGTAAGCGTTCATGACTCAGTCAATCCCAGCAGCTCTCTGTTTTCTTCAATTGTAGGTTACGCCTGCGTAAACAATTCATTTCTATTGTTGCCAATGTGTTTTTTCCGCATTTTCAGTAGAAGGAGAGGAAACATTTATGGGCAGAAGGGTGTTTGGTGGTGTGGGGCTAGCTTGGTACACAAGTTCTGTCTTCCAGTGTTTGGTGTCCTCAGCCAAGGACATGAGAAGCAAATACCACCCAGCGTACCCTGCCGATCATACTCATCTGATCGTCAAATCTATCGCTGAGCAGCAAGTCTTCCCACACCTCCACACTCGCTTTTTCATTGACGGGCAACCATAAATGTCCCGGCATGTCCATGTAACATGCGTGTACGTTTCAGTGCATCTATTATGGGTAGGTGGGCTGACCCAATTAGGGTAAAACATATAGGCTAGCAGGTCTAGCATACATATGATGGACGAACCTTTTTTGTCTTTGTCATTTACAACTTTGATGTAAAATGAATTAGTTTTAAAAAATGGCCACACAGAAGCAGTGCCTGGTCGATGCATCTCAACATGCCGTAGTCGACAGTTATTGCCCCTGCGACTCAGTGAGGGTTCCTAAGAATCAAGATAATGAGTATATCAGGCTCCGTTTAGCCGAATCACGCCGACGACCACAACGAGCTGCATAGAAAGCTTGACGGAAGATCAGCCTGATCATGGTTCGCTACCTGACCGAGAACATAAAAACACATGGCGAAAAAGCCTTCTTATGAAGGTGCCGCACACAATTTTTTTATGGTGTGGTAGCAGAATGTCCAATTTTGTTTTGTGATGTTGCCCCGAGCAGAGAAAAACTTCATGATTAAAGTGTAAAAAGAACCCACCCGAGGTGGTGACACACTTGATCAGCGTATTTTCTTAGTACAAAATACAGATATAGCATTCCGTTCCGACTGTTACGCTTGTATCTGTGCAAACATTGTTTTTTTTTCTATTAGATATCCACCATTTGAGATAGCATCTGAGTGTTACAAGTTACATCGTGCATGTGCCTTCCTGCTTGTGCAGCTAAAGCGTTTTCTCTTGCCCGGTGCTGTTGTACATTGCTGAGCTATTGTTATCATTATGTAATAAACTTTCCTATGTATATAGTAAATAAAAAAACCGTAAACAAGAGTCGTGTGTTAGAATTGACGTTTCAAGAGGTAGACTTAATTTGTTCATCTCCAGAGGTGGGTTTTTTAGTGCTAGTGTGTATGTGCTTCGTACACATTCCTCCAATCCAAACAAAGGAGAGCGAGAAACAATTCCGGAAATGATATAAAGTTCATTTTTATCCACACTAGCGGAGACATCGTCTACAATATCGAAAGTGCTTATTCTCACAAACGATACACTGATGAAAGAGGACTGCCTGTTATTGTTGGGATAAACGGATATCGCATGAACACGGCAATGAAACTACGGAAAGCAGAGACACAACATTCTAATGTAGCAGGTCATAGCTTCGACAATTTCAAGTTTGCAAACTTAAGTCAAACTTCCGGCCAACGAGAGACAAAAATATACTGGGTCATACCTTATTCAAAAGTTCATTATTCAACAGCTGGCAGGTGTAAATATTTTCAAGGGGCTTTTGAATTCACTCTATATCGTACCTACACAACAAAAAGCAATCAACGTTCAGTCCTCCTTCTAAAAATTCCTAACCTACCAATGTCATTGTGTGAAAAGCAGCGGAAGCGAAATGACGATTAGCATAATAAACGCAGTGCTGCGCGTTGTTCGTTTCGCTGTGTGCACTGGGTTTGTCACAATGTTCACGTAATAAATAGGCCACTTAACCAACCTTTGTAGAATGGTTAACTGGTCCAATCTCTGACATGCAGGGTTAAAAAAACATCTATGCATCTCACCTTCCACTTTTCTCTTTTCGTTTATTCACGGTATAAGTTTTTTTTTCTTTTACTCACACAATTTCGTCACGTTGGCTTCTCCCTGTTCCCCACCCAAGACACAGTTGGCATTTCTTCTCTTCCGTTCAGATTGAAGAGAAAGGTACGAATCACACACACAATGGCGCTGAAGAAATCAGTTCTAGCCTTGAGAAACGATGACCATCTATCAAAAAGTCATCTTCTGGACACAATCGCTGTTTACGAATTTTTTTCACCCAACAAATATGAGGGCGGAAGCATCCTAGTTAGGCAGAGGTAACCTGTTTTTGTTCTGCTCAACGAAAACAATCATTTTTGTCTGAATGAACAATGCATGCATGAATGAAATAATGAACCTTTCATTTATCTCTTATACTGTCACTCTAAGTATATATCAGAAATACAAACTGCATGCTCCAATTCACTATCGATATTCGAAAGCCTGTAAACAATGGCGCTTTTTTTTGTCAATTTCAATGCCTACAATCACCGTCTTACCATGATCAAAGCGACGTCGTTCACCCAGTGCTCACTGTCTAAATATGGGTGATAGAAAATGCTTTTAGCCGATTGGTATGGACCTGTCTGAGCCACTGTGAAGTTATAGTACACCTGCACAAGGCTCGGAGTACATGCTCTGAAATGAGACAATGACATATAGGTTAATGCACGCACTTTCTTACATAAACGTGTGTCGTCATTTCACAGCTGACTACCTTCACATATTCGTATTACACAACCACGTATAGGACATGCCTTGAATGCACAGGCCTTTCTTCGCCTAGGCCTATGTACGAGAAGTGTTCGAGCAATTGCCATGCGGATTACGAATTGAAATAGCACGGTTCTTTGTGCGTTCTCTTTAGGTACATCGATTGCAAAAGCCACTGTTTAACAGGTACAAACTTTTACTGAAAATCTCCGTGACGAAGACCTACGTGTCATTCCTGTGTGGAGGTCTTCGATTATCCTAATTGGCACACTCCTCACCAGATTGAGAAAACCCATCAGCTCGAAGCGAACTGTTGCAGATACCTTGGAGGGAATCCTTGCGAGCCCTAGTTAACATAGTGAATTGCTGTGAACGTCATCTAAGGCAGTCGAAGATTGATAATAGGTGGTAGCGCAGTCTAAGGATATGGGCAAAAGAAGGCACGTTTGAGAGAGCACAGCGCTAACTTTCGACAACAGTTTGCAACCCGCCAATCCCATTAGTATATGTACTCTCAAAGCGTGATACGTCAGATGTGCAGATGTGCAAAACTCTCATAGCCAGAAACTGTAACCTACACGCATACATCAACGCATGACGCGCATAACAACTCATGCCCTTAGTCTGCGGTTTACTATTAATTATCATGCTATAGACTATGCGAACAAGTCCAGATCGCCACCCTCATCAGCGAAGCCCACCCGCATTCTGTGACAGTTCACAGTTAGATGACCTTCAGGACATGCGTGGGGTGGACGCTATGACGTTAACTGGCACGAAAAAATTCAGCGAGAAGCCATCGTCATCATGATCGAACGTCGTCTACTTTTCCGTTTTTCGCCTTCACTGGCTGCTGGCGTTTATTATATTTCAACACGTCGTACATGCTGTTGTGTGTGTAAGCGTGTTCCTTTCTCCCTCTTTCCTTCTTTGCTTTTCTGATCTTTTCCTCTTCTTCTCTTGTGTAGGGTAGTAAACGGGGTGCAACCTCCTCAACCTCCCTGCATTTTTTTTGCTTTTCTCTCTCTTCCTATAACAGGGTAGCCTTTTAGGCCAAAAAATGCTTTATGACACGTTTTCAGATAAGATCATCACAATGATCCGACACATGCTCCTTTTGTTATCTCCATCATCTTGTAGCTCGCTTCTAGGACACATGCGCCGATATGAACAACGCAGGTTCCAATAGCTTTGATGGGTAGCATAACAAGTACCACTAGAAATAGAGGCAGAGACTAAAAAAAGGAAACAAATGAAAAAAAAAAAAAACAGGGAAAGATTTGGCAATAAATATTTCTTGATAAGGTGGGATTCGAACACGTGGATGCAGGTTTAGAAGGTGAGGGTCGCGATACGCGGCTGCAGTTTTTAAGCGAACAGTTGCCGCTGCGAACTATAACTATGATAGCCAACGTTCCAAGTTCCTTTCAAAGCCTGGCCACAGGAAATCACTTTTCAACATTCTCAAAGCCAAAAAATAATCCCACAACCAAGAGAATTCGAATCGATAGTTTTAATGCCAAGTGAGCTGCCTACTTCTCTGGATAATATTGCTGAAGGGCTGGAAAGCTGGTTCACGGCTGCTCACTTTTACCACTCGACGTGCCCTGTTAAAAGCGATAATTTTGAATGTTACAGTGTCGGAAATAGCACAAGTAGTGAAAATATTGCCCAATTCTGCTTTAGGTCCTGATAGAATAACTTAATTGTCAATAAAAATATTCCATAAAGTATCACCTCAGGAGTTACTTGCAATAGTTAACCACTCCAGTAGACATTCGTGAATTCCGCCTGTGTGGAGGATTGTGAAAATTATTCCTTTATTCAAGAAACATGGAGCTAGGTTTACTTTGGATAACATTGGGCCTAGCTCACTCACATCCAACCTAGTAAAACTAATCAAAAAAATTTTACACATTAGGATAGACAACTGGTTGGACAAAAACGCAATTTTAGGCCCATGTCAAATTAAATACAGGAGGGGCTGCTCCATTTGGTATGCCCATGTTGATTTGGAAAGCAGGATACAACTAGACCATTCTAAGACACAGGTTACCGCCTTAGTAACTTTAGATATTGCAGAAGCTTATGACAGTGTGGAACACAATATACTAATTAATTCGCTAACGCATGTCAGCTTACCAAATTACTTCGTGGTATTGGTTTACTCGTTTCAAAAAGATAGAAAATTCTATTGCTCTCAATCTGGCTTGTCGTCTTCAAAGTATAAACAAACCAGAGGTCTCCCCAAAGGTTCGGTACTGTCACCATTATTATTTACATTTTAATATGCACAATTCCAGTACAACATGATGTACAGGTGTACGTATGCGCTGACGACATCGCATTTTTTGCTACAGCTGCAGATATACCTACACTATATCAGATGCTACAGTTTTATATGGACGCTCTGGACACATGGTTAGACGACATTAATCTATCATTAAACATCAGGCAAAGTGCAATCGTAGTTTTTTTTCCGGTAAGTATTCTAGTGCAGATTTCGTACTTTACAGGCAGGACGTTATCACGCTGGTGAAATTGATTAAATACTCAGGAGTGGCTTAGACTGAAAACCTATATTGGAGTCCACACATAAAAAATATGGCAGCTAAAGGAGCACGGGCGCTCAGGATGCTTCGTAGACTCAGCAATAAACGTTCTCATTTACATCGTGATGTGCTGGTCATGATATATTGTATGTATATTCAGCAATATTGAAGTTTGGCAGTCTTGTTTTCTGGAGTACCCGCCTAAACACACTAGTACTACTACAACACGAAGCGTTACGTTAATGTCTTGGGTATCCTAAGCTTCTCGAAAATAATATTTTATATAAGGAAGTGCGCCTGCCTTCTTTTCGTGCTAGGTTCCAAATACTAGCAGTTCCTACCTTCCCAAAAATATATGCATCCCCACATTGGAGGTGACTATATGTTTTAATTAATAAGCCGACGTCCTTTTTTAACCAACTGTGGTCTGGACTAGGGCGTCCACAAGTCATCGCCGTACAGAAGCTCTTAAGAGACATTACAAGTTAACCTTCATGAGGTACTGGTAATAAGAACACATATTCAAACATTGAAAGTAGAATTGCACAATATATTTCCTAATTATTGCAAAAATCTTTCCAGTAGATACCTAAATGGCATTTTAAAAAATCCACCTGGCAAGATTGGAAATAAGGATTTTATTAGCAACTGATGCTTCAGTTTGTGAAGACACGCCAGGAGTCAGAATTGCATCTTCAGTGTTTGATTGGTCTTTTTCAATTTGTTTACTCAATTTTACAGCTATTTATCAAGCGGAATTACGTGCAATTCTCTTGGCATTACGGAAATGTCCTCAATCAATAACAGAGGTTATTGGTCTTTCAGACTGCCTGTGTGTGTGTAGTTCATTAACTGCGCCTAACATGCCTCATGCTTTAGAAGTATTTTATGTCCTTGCTCCAAGACATTTACGACTCATTCCCTTCGTTTGGTTACCAGGGCATAAATGTTTAACCCTCAATAAATATGCAGACGCACTCGTAGTAGCCTCGCATAATTATCCCTAATTATTATACTTAAAAATATACGCTAGCATTTATCGCTGTGGCACGCTTCAAAAGAAATGTCATATCAGATCATTTTGAAAAATCTCGCTGGGCAACATCCTATTTCTCTTATCTTAAGCACCACTGAAAAAAAAATTGATAGTCCTCCTCTGGAATGGCGGATATATCAAGGCTACGATGGCGAGTCCCCCCCTGAATTTTTATCTACACAGGTCTGGTCTGGCACAGTGTCCCCTATACCTCCACTGCAACGAGAGTGAATCCCTTCATCATTTCCTCTTAACATGCAGGTTATACACAAATCAAAGAAAGCGACTGGTAGAAGAATCTCTCCGTAGGTTGGCTCTAAATTTATCTCTTCTGGTGCTTCTTTCCTTTGGAGCAACTGAAAAAGAATTTACCAACAGGAACGTTTGCGAGGCCGTATGCGATTTTTAAAAGGAACAACACGAATAGAATGTTGAGCTTAGGCATAAATTCGCTTTATTTCAAACTATATTAGCATTGCTCATTTTTTAAATTTCTTTCAACTTATTATTTCCAATTTATTGTTTATCAATTGGTTCTCTGTTTAAACATTCCCACATAAATAACCCGGCAGGAAAAACAAATCAATCTCACAAATGAGGCACGTGCCGTCCACTTCACGGCTGATCTTCCGTGGTGGGTTGCGACAAGACTCTAAGGAAGACCAACCAACCAAGCGTTCGGCTACACGGGTACACAAGCCGAGTTTAACATAGTCGCGCCTGTTATAGTGTATCAATAGGGTGGAAAAGGGGAAGTGAGCGTGAGAAGTGAGCAAGAAAAAAGTTGGTAAAACGGTTCATTGATATGAATGATTTGTGGGGTTTATTGGTTTAATGGTATGTGGGGTTTATATGAGAGAATACAAAGCACGAGAAATAAACAAATGCAGGACAACAAGACGAATAATCAACTAAAGCGGCAACCAAGCGGAGAAACAAATGAACGAACTATGAAGAAAGATAAATTGCAATGAAGAGAAAGAAAGAAACACAGATAAATAGAAATAAAAGTACACAAGATATACTTAGGGTGGGAGCCGACCAAATAGAGGTGGAAAGAAAACACAGAGAAGCAAATTTGTTTGGCCCTCGACAGGTGCGACCTAAATCAACCTCAACCCGCTATGACCACCCGGAGACTCTGTGGTTAAATGTGGTTGTTCTCGCGTGGGCCCTCTGGAGGGCCAAAATTAGAGAGAAAATTACAGAGAAACTGTGAAGATTGTCTAGTCTTGCACTGCCTTCACGCTGCGCGCCCTTACCGGAAAACTTTTTATTTTTAACTGCTTAATTTTTAACTTACACCACACCACCTTAGTCATGCGATGACGTAATGC